CCCCATGACTTCCCCGCACAGGCAGCGCGGCAGCTCATCCCCGGGACACGCGTGAGGCAGAACAGTCTCGGTCCCCCCGAGGCGGCCGCCGCCTCCCGCCGGCCGGGGCCAGGCCGGGGGGTTTCTTGGGTGTAGCTGGCACGAAATTCGCCGGTGCCCCAAGAGCACAAATTAGATCGTGTTGGGTTTCTGTACTGATTGGCGTCTCGTAGTTGTTCTTGGGCTGTTAATCACCTGGCAGTGCATTTCCATCTCAGTCTGGCTGCTGTCTGGTTTGCCTCTGTAGAATGTTGCAAGATACAGAGCAAGGAATATAAAAGACAGCAAAATAAAAATTTTAACTGTTCTTTTGACAATAGAAATTATGGCAAATTCCTAATTTTCACTGATTGTTATTTTCCTTTTAAAATATTCAAAAAAAAAGCGCTAAACACTCAGATGAGAAAACATCTAGATCATGGAGTTCAATGTTATAGGACGATATGCACTGACTCACTGTTACATGTTTGTTATAAAATACTTTTTGTAGAGAAAATTTTTTTGGCCCTTAATATTTTCCAGACACTTTGGTTCGCATCATCTTAGTTCCAACTAAACCAGCACAGTGTAAAAATACATATGCTCGCATCTCTTTAAATTGTATGTGCACAGAATGTGTTTATAGCTCTTTGAATGGGAAAGACTTCAATACATAGGTGTGTATATTTGCAGTGGGCAGTTCTGAAAATCATTGGCTTAATAAATAAGTTTTGAACAAGTTTAGGTGTTCAGACAGTGAAAACAGTAGTGCAGAAACAGTGGGGTTTGTTTAAATGCGGAGAGAAAAAGTACCGATCTGTATGCTACTCCAGTTTAGCACATAGACCTGCTTGGGAAACATTGCATGTCTGCAAAAATGAGAATCACGGTGTAAACACAGTTGCAGAGCTTAGTAATGTAGATGGAATTATTTGTATTTGCCATTTTTATGGCTGCCTGATGTTGTGTGTGGGTTTTGTTGTTGTTTTTGTAAAGCCCTGTGGAAAATAAACCACATTTGCAGAAGAATTCTGAGGATTACTCTGGGCAAACAGTTTTACTCAGCTTATTACCATGAAGATACTTTTCCTTGTCAGTCATCAAGCATTTACTTTAACATCTCTAATGTTTTTCTCTTTCTCAGTTGAAACTGTTACATTTTCTGTGAAAATGACTCATCCATCTATAGCTAGAGCAAAATTCCAGGTAAGCATTAAACATTATCCTTTCCTCACAATAGCTGAGTAAGTGTGTGCTCTTAGAGTACTTTCCTAGGATTTTAGAGCACTTTATGACCATTCATTCATTAATCCTCATCAAAGAAAGCTGAAGAAAATAAAATGCAGACCCACTTATTCTCATAGAGTCTGATTATTTCAAACATTAAAGCTCACATATAATTCCACACATGTAAGGCGCTCCAGTGCTTGGCTGCATTGTATCCTGTTACAAAAAACCATCACACAGTATACTTTAGTGTTTGCAGGATATTATATCTTTTCCCACAGCGTTACAGTAAAAATAGAATATGATGGAAGAGATCTAAAAAGTAATCATGAAATGTATGGGAAACTGCTCTTGAGATGTGGCATTGAAATAAATTCTTTACCTGCTTATTTACAAGTTACATGAGCTGTGCAGTAGTGCTGGAGTCAGGTGTTGTAGGCAGGCTGGTCTCTGCGGGGATGGAGTCCTTTTCTCTCTGATTCTGGATGTGTTCCTATAGCAACAGCCTACCTATATGACTATAGAGAATACTGTAATAGGATCTTATTTTCATGTGCATGATCCAGTCTCATGATTCTTCTTTAAAGACTTTAGTCCTTGAAAAAAATTACATAGGTTTTCAGCATCTTCAAGTAATCTACAGCAAATCACAGTTAGAGGCAGAAAAACTATTGAGGAAATAGGAACTGTAGGAATTGGAGGCAGAAGGTATAAAGGGGAGAGGAGCCTGTTGGAGTAAATGTCCCTGTTTATTACCAGCTCAGTATGTTCCCTTAACACTTACAGAAACATTTAGGAAGTTCTCCGCAGCCTTTCACTTACTGGGTGAAAGCTATTTTGTTGCTGTTTGAATCATTTCTGTTGTGTCTGATTCCACTGTTTATACATGTTACCTCTGTCTTCATGGGCAATTATTTCTTTGTCCTAAAATAAAAACCATATGAACACCCTGGACTATAACCTACACTTTAAAAAATATGGTTTTCTGTAAGCTTTCAGTTATTTGCCTCTCTTTCCCTCGTGGATAAGCCTTCACTGGATTTTTTACTTCAGACTTGCATATTTCTGTTAAAAGTTTACTTTTCACACATGATGCTACTGTGTAGTTTTTCCCTCTGGTCTAACAACCATGTCTTTGATTTCTTCCAGATGAGAAATCAGTCATTTCCTTCTCAGTGATTTAGAAGAGATGAAAATGAATGTATTTGTGTATATATTTTACAAGTGGAAATAAATAGGCCCCTTAGGTAAAAACACACCATTCCAGGCTGTGATGTACAGTGTGTTAATTTATTAGAGGGCAAATGCACTGAATTATTACAAAATAAAAGCTTTTCTTGGTAACTGCTACCCTTATTCTCTCCACCTGGATTTGTTCAAAACCAGATAGAGACTCTCTGAATATGATTGCATTCCTTACGATCACCAAGCAGATGACATTCATTCAGGGCTATCCCAGAAATACAAAGTCATAATAGAGGTTTTCCCTAATCTTATTATTACAAACCTCCCTTCTCTTAATAGCCCTTGCATTTTGGCATTACAAGAATTACTTTTTGCATCCAGGACTGACCTGCACCAAGAGCTATTGTTAGAAATCTAACTTTTGTAGAGCTGAGATTATAAAAGCTTCAGAAAGCAGAAGGATTGCTGAGTTTCATTTATCAGGAATGTGGATATATTTAAAACAAACAGAATTCAGAAAGAAAAAGCATTATGAACACCTCTATTTGTTTGAAAAAGCTTACACTTGTTAAGCACAGAATTACTGAGTCTTTTTTTTTCAATCCAATTTAATAATTTAAATGATAGAAACTTGTCTATTAATAGATGATTTGTCAGAGGTAGCCTTTTTGAATAGGTGAAGAGAAAGGAGAGGAAACATTGCTTAGTGGTGACCGCTATTTCAGGATTGTACTTCTAATTCTAGCACTGACTCACTATAGCCTTGGAAAGTTACAGTGCTTTTGTTCTAGAAAATACTAAGTAAAGAAAGGAGCCATTCTGTTCTAATAGCAAACATCCATTTTATTGTAACACTGCCTGGAGTTCATTTACAAGAAAAATCCAATGCCTTTGTTCTTTTTTTCTATGCAGCTAATGTCTTGCAACTATTTCCAGTTTACAGTTCTGCATCTTCTAGTAGTACTTCTCTTATTTGCAGTTATCAAAATATTATAGTTATCCAGATATCCAGATTTACTCATACTGGTTTCTGAGAAGAGATTAACTCAATTACATAGGCAGAATAAAGGGAATATTTCTCAAATGGAGGAGGTCAAAAAAAAAAACCAAACAGCTGTTCCCTCCCCCACATCTTCTGCAGGCTATTGGGTGATAGCAAAATTAATCAGGATAACACAGAAACCTTACAGTGTCTGAGAAAACTAATATATTGATGATTGCTTTTACTAGAAACTCAAGCTGTCACTTTTATAGGTGTTACATGCCACCCTTCTCTCCAGCTACAGCTGTTCCCATTTCCTCTACAGTGTTAAGTGG